TTAGGATAGGGTGTACTGAACTGAAAGCGGTGCCACACGCCGGCCTAAGGTTCCAATTCCTAAGGGTACGTGTACGAACCACTGGATCCTGGAGGTCTTCAAGAGGAAGTAGGGCCCAAAAGGAAGAAAACGATCGACGAGCCGACAAGATGACGTCGTGTCGCGCAAGTCTGCAGAGCTTACTAGCACTTTACAAAAGTTCAAAAGTTCGAAGAAAGCAGGTACGTCGGAGTGGCCAACTCCGATATCACCAGATCAAATGGGCGTCTTCGTTGGTAGCGGTCCCAAATGATCTGCCGCTACCCCCTGCTGTAGTAAAGGTTAAAAGAAAGCAAACCGAACAAATCCAAAAGGATCCCTATGATTCCAAGGGTTACACACACACACACACTTATGGATATGCGTACTGACTGGACAGCGGTGCCACACGCCAGCCTAAGTGAAAAAACACCTAAGGAAGCAGGGCAAGTCAAAGTTTTTTTTAGAGGCCATCGCCCAAGTTTGGAGGCCAAAGTACCAACTTTACAGCAAGCATGTTTACAGCAAGCACGTTTGCAGCAAGCACCTGTGCCCACCCCAACTCTGCAGACTGAATAGGAATGCACCCAGTCGAGCAGAGCGGACGCGCTGGCCCTAAGGGCAACCGAAAACTACTAGAAGGGCACCAAAAATAGGAAGAGGCCATAGCAACAAGGTTGGAGGCCTGCGCAATAGGTTAGAAGGCCCACAAGACACAAGGCAGCAAAAAACAAAAACCAAACAAACAAAAACAAAACAAAAAACTGGATTTTGACTCCAAGGGTTGCACTGCACCATCGTGAAACACTTCAAGATTAGTGCGTGTCATTCCTTTATACTGCAACATCGTGGTACCGTGGTACACTTCAAGATTTGTGAGCGTCATCCTTCAAACTTCAAATGAATCCCTGTGACTACAAGGGGTACACACACACGCCTCCCGAGGGGAGGCGTATTGAAGGCGCGGACAAAGTAGTAGTAAGGCCAGGAACCTCTAGTAGCGTCAAAGTAGCGTCCGGGCACCTAGGAAGGCTAGGAGCCCCTAGTAGCGTTCCAACCCGACAGGAGGGAGGGGTAGGGAGAGACGAGAAAAAGGAAAGAGAAGAAAGGAAGGTGTTCCCAGCTACGACGCATGCGTCCAAGGACACACCAAAGGAAGAGAGGAGAAGGGTTCCCAGCTATGACGAAAGCATCCAGGGACACCCAAGGAGGAAGGAAGGTGAAGAGAGGAAAGAAGGAAAGAGAGAAAGAAAGAGAGAGGGAGAGAAAGGGAGACGAGAGAAAAAGAAAAAGGGCAGGTGTTCCCAGCTACGAACAAACGTCCAGGGACACACCGAAGAAGGAGAAAGGTGATCCTGAGTATTCAAGAAAACCCCAGAAAGCAAAGAAAGAAAGGGGGGGGAAGGGGAGGGGGGCTAAGTTCTCGACAGGTTCCAACGAACCTCAAAAAACTTTGGTCACTCTGACCACGTTGAGGCATTAAGCCAGCTTGGACCGCTGCGGTCGCGTGACGGCATGAGCCAGCTTGGAATTCTAAAAATGAGACAAAAATCTGAGTTCTCTCGGCCTAGGCCACCTTCGCCCGCTCTGGGCACGTACATCTTGTCGGGGCATGGGAGATAACGACAAACCCCCGTTCGGCGGGTCCACGGGAGGCACTCTACGGGCTCATCCCGGGCTGGCACTAGGCCAGACACACTGACTGCCAGCCGAAGTGGAAAAACACCTAAGGAAACAGGGCAAGTCAAGTTAAAGTTTTTATTAGAGGCCATCGCCCAAGTTTGGAGGCCAAAGTACCAACTTTACAGCAAGCATGTTTACAGCAAGCACGTTTGCAGCAAGCACCTGTGCCCACCCCAACTCTGCAGACTGAATAGGAATGCACCCAGTCGAGCAGAGCGGACGCGCTGGCCCTAAGGGCAACCGAAAACTACTAGAAGGGCACCAAAAATAGGAAGAGGCCATAGCAACAAGGTTGGAGGCCTGCGCAATAGGTTAGAAGGCCCACAAGACACAAGGCAGCAAAAAACAAAAACCAAACAAACAAAAACAAAACCAAAAACGCCGGGATTGTGACTCCAAGGGTTGCACTGCAACATCGTGAAACACTTCAAGATTAGTGCGTGTCATTCCGTTATACTGCAGCATCGTGGTACACTTCAAACTTTGTGAGTGTCATCCTTCAAACTTCAAAAGAATCCCTGCGACTACAAGGGGTACACACACACACGCAGGCCTGCAACACATACACCCGCGCTCGGCGTGACTAAATGGCTTCTGATTTCAAAGCGCGCCTCTTTCTCAGCTCTCCTCTAGCCCGATGAGGTTGAGCGGAAAGAGGGGACGCATGGTGAATGGATCTACATGCGCGTTTCTTTTTCGGGCGTCGGCCTTCGGTCTCGATGATGGTCTCGATCCCGGCGTCGATCACGTCCGCGGTCCCGGCCACGATCGCGTCGCCGGTCGCGGCTACGGCTGCGGCTTTCCGAGTAGTAGTCACTGTAGTACCTTCGCGAGGGTCTTGAGATACGCAAAAGAAGCCAAGGCTTTTGCAACTAACAAAAGAAGAAAAGAGTTAAGCGGTTTTGTCAAGCTGGCCGCTACAAGCAAAGCTCAATGTCAAGTTTGTCAAGAAAGTATTTATAGACTGATAGATAAACAACCACGTCTCCTCTTCGGCGTTCTCGCCTACTTAGGAAGGCCACTCGAAACTGTGGAGAAACACTTGCCTTTTTATCAAACTAAATGGCACGCCACGTTCACCCCACATTAAGGCTTGCGAACCTTGCATGTCTGGGAGTGTGCTGACACGGAATTCTGCCCAGCCGCTCGTATTCAGAAACTCTACTGTTTGACCTGCCCTTGTCACGACGGCCCATCACGCGGAGCGCTCGCCCAGCCAGAGCCAAAATGGGCCTTCTTGATCCAGGCAGCAAACGCAATGTCTTTCATAGTGTAACGCTCTCAGCTTTCAACACTTCAATTTTTTAGAACAAGGCTCCTACTTATTTTTGCAGCGAAGTGCGGCGGCGGCGGTGGCGGAGGCGCCGGCGGCGGCAATGGCGGCGGCGGTGGTGGTGGTGGCGATGCTGGTGGGAAAGTTGGCCGTTAGCCACTCACGTTTGATACGTCCAAGCTTGTTCAGGTGTTTCGACACACCCGTAACTTGTGAAGAGTAAAGGGTTGCATCTGAGCAGCATCATAAGTTAAAAGCTTCCACATGCCTGCTTTTGGCAAGCAAATCTAGCGCGTCAGCCGAGTGTCAAGGATGACACGCACAAACACACACACACACACTTATAGAAATGCCTACTGATGTGAATGCGGTGCCACACGCCAGCCTAGGTTGCCATTTCCTAAGGGTACAGGTGGAACAAACCAAAAGCATCGACGATCACGCGACAGGTTGACGACGTTCGTGCATGACTGTAGCTCCCCTCCAAGTTCAAACTGCAAACTCAAATTCAAGATCAAATGCATGACTGCCGAGAGCAAACCGGTGCAAAGGCTGGACATCTTGTTCTAACTAGACCCAAACTGCAGGTACGCGAGACTGATCAGGTCTGGTTTCACCGCCAATTGCAAGTGTCTTCGTTGGCAGGAGACTTGCAATGGCGCTCCTGCCCCCTGCTTAACATAAAAGACCACAATCCGAGTGGATCTCTGTGACTACAAGGGGCGCACGCACACACACACACACACACGCCTCCCCAACAGGACACGCTCTTACCTAGTAGCGTCCTTGCACCTGGTAGTAAGGCCAGGAGCCCCCAGTAGCGTCACACTCTAAGGTCCCGACAGGAGGGAGGGGTAGGGAGAGAAGAGAAGAAAGAAAAAGAAGAAAGGAAAGGAAAAGAAGGTGTTCCCAGCTACGACACCAGCTATGACGAAAGCATCCAGGGACACCCAAACAAGAAGGGGGGAAAGGAAAGGAAGGAGAAAAGAGAGAGAGGGAAAAGAGAAGGAAGACAGGGAGAAAGGGGTGAAACTGAGTATTACATTCGAAGAGAAAGGGTGGGGGAAGGACCAACGAACCTCAAAAAGCCAGCTTAGACCGCTGCGGTCACGTAAAGGCATGAGCCAGCTTAGAATTCAATACTTCAGCAAGTCTTGGCAAATAACTTTGGCGTAAGCCTCCTACGCCCGCTCTGGCCGCGTACATCTCCGGGCAAGGGAGATAAGGACAAACACCCATTTGACGGGTCCACAGGGGCCACTCCCCTGCGCTCTCACTAGGAGAGACACACTTATAGAAATGCGTACTGATGTGAATGCGGTGCCACACGCCACACGCCAGCCTAGGTTACCATTTCCTGAGGGTACAGGTAGAACAAACCAAAAGCATCGACGATCACGCGACAGGTTGACGACGTTCGTGAATGACTGTAGCTCCCCTCCAAATTCAAACTGCAAACTCAAATTCAAGATCAAATGCATGACTGCCGAGAGCAAACCGGCGCAAAGGCTGGACAAACAGGGCCCATGATGAAATGTCTCAAGTAAAACTGGAGGCACGCCAGACTGATCAGGTCTGGTTTCACCGCCAATTGCAAGTGTCTTCGTTGGCAGGAGACTTGCAATGGCGCTCCTGCCCCCTGCTTAACAAATTAAAGGACCGGATAACCCCACATATGAATCTTTACGAATCTTAAGTTTCTAAAGCACAAAGCAGCCAGAATCTCAATAGCTTCTACAACACGGTCTTGTCAGGAAGTGATACCAGCTTCCGACAACAGAGGGGTGGGAGAGAAGGTGCAAGAGAGTGATGTGCACGACGGATGTACGAGGTATTGCGCACGCAGGTGTGCGCAGCCACAACTAGCCAAAGTAAAACCCCATCGCTCTGCCGACGCAAAACCCCATAGTCAAACTCCTTTTCATCGCGCAGACGAAATCAGGTCGTGTTGGTGAACCTGGGCGATGGCATGAGCACTACATTCAAAAGACATCATTCTGGGAACAAAATCTGCTGTAAAAGTGAAGACCAAAGACTTTGGATAACTTCGTTTGTCACTGTCAGCACATCATTCGCGCCTTGGAAAGATAGGATAACTTCATGCACTGCCGTACCGGCACATGGCCGATCTTTCGATGAAAGCAACGCAGCACTCCACATAGAAACAGTGAACTGTAGGAAAGCAGGCGCTTTTTGTCTCTAGGTTTTGTCATTGAAAGCACACCGAAACTCCTTTTCTTCATCGCGCAGACGAAAGGGTTAGTATCTGCAACAGGATGGCATCTGCTCTGCAATGCTTTCCAAATGGGATCGTATCTGCAAGAGGATGCTATGCTCAGATCTGTAACAAGATGTAGGTGCGAAGTGGCATCTGCCCTGCAGTGCTTTCCAAATGGGATCGTATCTGCAAGAACATGCTATACTCTTCTGCGTCGCAGAGCTTTGGTGCGAAGTGGCATCTGCCTTGCAGTACTTGGCAAAGGGGATCATTGCTGCAGGAAGATGCTCATCTGCGTCCAACATGAACATCCCATTGCTCACGTAGACGCAGATGAGTCCGGGCACGGGTTCGCGATGTAGGGCGCCAAGGAGAAGTGTTGTGGAAGGCGATCGCCTTGGGCATGACACGTGGATTGCTGTGCGTCCCTCGTGACGAGCTTGTCTGTCGAAGGGCCAAGGAGCCAGTTGAAAGCCAAGAGCCAGAGGGGAAAACATGACCACAGTGGTGCGCTGGAAGACAGTGAGGTTCGGAGCGTGTGCACAAGAAATCCGGAACGCACATAGTCACGCTCCCTGCATGTCCTTGTCAGCCCGAGGAGTATCAGAAAACGCGGAGCATCAGGATCTGTCCCGCAGTGCTTTCCAAATGGGATCGTAAGATGCAGGTGCGAAGTGGCATCTGCTCAGCAGTGCTTTCCAAATGGGATCGCATCTGCGAGAAGATGCTATGCTCATCTGCTTCACAGGTGCAAAGTGGCATCTGCCCTGCAATGCTTTCCAAATGGGATCGTGTCTGCAAGAGGATGCTATGCTCTCATCTGCGTCACAGGTGCGAAGTGGCATCTGTCCTGCAATGCTTTCCAAATGGGATCGTATCTGCAAGAACATGCTACGCTCATCTGCGTCACAGATCTGTAACAAGATGTAGGTGCGAAGTGGCATCTGCCCTGCAGTGCTTTCCAAATGGGATCGTATCTGCAAGAACATGCTATGCTCTTCTGCGGCGACCACAGGCGACCACCGGTGACAACGCAACCGCCAGACCCTCTATAAGAGAGCGAGATCTACTGCAATTCACAATAAGACAGCGCCGCAGC